AACAGCCTTCTAGAGCCTGTGGGCACCTTTGGAATTCTCACACTGGGTGGTGAACCCAACAACAAAAATGGCTGCCAAAAGAGGCGGAGCCAACCACAAAACCTCCAGGACTGAGGTCATACTTAACTTTTAATAGTAACAGTTCAGTATTTTAGGCAGAAGCTCTGTTAAACCAGATGCCTTTGAAAATGAACATATAGTTTAAAAATGTCTTGCATATACATTTTCAGTTGCGCAGTGAAGGCCCCGGTCACACGGAAGGTTTTGGCCTGGGAGAGGGACGGATCGGGGGCGCAGCAAATGGGCGCGATCTCACTGCAACATCTGGGAAGCAGCGCGCACCTGTACCCGATCCATCCCTAAAGCCGGAAAACCCGCTGCAAAAAAGAACCTCCCTTTGGCCCGGGAGAGGGACGGATCGGGGGCGCAGCAAACGGGTGTGAGCACACCACAACATCTGGGAATCAGCTTGCACCCATCCCCAATCCGTCCCTTCAGGCCAATAACGGGCTGTAAAAAAGAACCACCCCCAGAGGAGGACTTACCTGGGATGCCGCATCAAGCGCGGCTGTGGGATCGCTGGTGCACTCTTCGTTTGCAGCAATCCCGGCTCCCGGCCAAATTGCAGATGCTCACACATGTGCAGTTCGGCTGCCTCGCTTCCCTGTCAGTGGCTTCCCCCGGGCATCTGATCGTGCTGGGGATGAAGTGTGCGGCGGCTCAGGGGATCTATGTGATCCCGCTGCCGCATGTCTCTTTTGGTGCGACTTTAAAAAGCCGCACTTTGCCCGTGTTTCCCCCCCCCCGGTGTGGCAGGGGCCGAAGATCCTTGTGCTATGGTGGCAACTACTTTAGGAGCAACTTCTTAAAAATCTGCACAGCCAGCCAGATCTCCAGTGGCCAAACCAGAAGCCCTGCTGAGCAAGGACCCTGCCCACTTCCTAAAGACACTCGGCAGGTGCCAGGAAAGATGTCCGCAGGATCCATGGTGCCCACGGGCACCATGTTGGGGAACCGTGATGTAAATGGAGCCTAAGCAAGGAGGATCCAGGGGCTTACAACTGCAGGCTTTAGGTCTGCAGATACTATCTTAGATCTGTCACTGTACCCAATCCTTTCCTTCAGGCTTCTGAGGTGCATGCCCTTTGCAGGGGATGGATATGACTTAAAGGTCTTGGCAGTGCAGCATTGCTATTCTCATTGTTAAGCACGAGGCACCACTGTGCTTTTGTAGCCTGTGTAACTAACATCTGCAAAAATAAATACCTATAGGCTCTAGTACCTGAGAAGCTTATGTTAGAATAAAACTTGTTCCCCAAGACTCCTATTTATTTTGGCTGCAGCACTCACACGGCTGTCCCACCGGTAATAGCTACATAGTGCAGTTACCTATTGAACTCTCTTGCAGCGCTTTTTCCCAGAGTTACTTGGCTTTTTGCCCTGATTTTTTTTTTCCAGGAGCAAGTGTGTGGGTGTTGTCAGTGGATAAGAGAAGTAGTCCTGGATTTTTACAGGCTAGAGTCTGCAGTTGGTAGAATGCTGAGTTGGCAAAATGGACTGCCTCCCCTTCAGGCTGCAGATAGAGGTTACTATTTTGGACAACCCTTCATTAAAAAAACAAACTAACTTTAGGGAAACTGAAAGCTAGCACATCAGGGAGAAACTTTCTACTCTCTTCTTTGTGTTTGCTTTGCTGAATTTCTGATTGCAGGGAGTTTTTAACACAAGGGAAGATTTCCAATGTGTTATTCTCTGTGGTGGGCTGGCCCTTGCTGGAGGTGTTCAAACCGAGGCTAGGGCAGGAGGTGTGGAGCTGGGGGTTGGACCAGATGGTATACACAGCCCCTTCTGTATCTGCTGTCTTGGGGCATTTACCTGAATGTGTTAACATAAGAAGATCCTACAGGATCAGACCAGTGGTCCATGTAGTCCTGCATACTTTTTCACACAACAGCCAACCGGTTGTCATGGAGGGCCAACGAAGCAGAGCATTGAGGCTGGAGCCCTCCCCTGCTGCTGTTGCTGCCTCCCAACACTGGTAAAGGTAAAGGTTCCCTTGCTCGAAAGCCAGTCGAGTCCGACTCTAGGGTTGTGGTGCTCATCTCCGTTTCCAAGCCGAGGAGCCAGCGCTGTCTGAAGATGTTTCCGTGGTCATGTGGCCGGCATGACTAAACACCAAGGTGCACGGAACGCTGTTACCTTCCCACCGAAGTGGTACCTATTTATCTACTTGCAATTTCTTGCTTTCAAACTGCTAGGTTGGCAGGAGCTGGAACTAGAGATGGGAGCTCACTCCATCATGCGGCACCCGGGTCTCGAACTGCTGAACTACTGACCTTCCACAGCCTGCAGTTCAGCGTCTTAACCACTTGAGCCACCGCAGCTCCAACACTGGTATTCAGAGTTTTGCTGCCTCTGGAATTGAAGGCTCTCTTCAGTCACTGTAGCTAATAGTCACTGATGGACCTCTCCTCCATCTATCTGTCTAACCCCCTTTAAAAGCTGTCTGCTTATTGGTTGTCACTTCCTGCCCTGGCACTGAATGCTACCATTTAATTGCTCATTGAGTATGCTTATTGGTTGTCACTACCTGCCCTGGCAATGAATGCTACCATTTAATTGCTCATTGAGTAAAGAAGTATTTCCTTTTGTCTGTCCTGAACCAATTTCCCAAAAATTTCATTGGATGCCCCTGAGTTCTAGTATTATAGGACAGTTTCTAAGGCTTTAGTGTTCCAGGGCAGCTTTTTTTAAAAAAGTAGTTTCTGAAAGCTTATCAGGGGTTCCCCAAGACTAGTAATAAGATCCATGCTTCTTTAGAAGACAGTTTGAGCACTACTTGTGATAAACCCCTGAAATCCACAGTCATAGTGGAGCATTGAGTTGTCCTAGGTAACATTCTGCATCCTAGTGAAGTCCAAGATTCCTGTTTGATACCTCATATGAACTGAGTGGTCTCTAATGAGCACCTGAAAACATGTCCCAGAATCCTTTGCAAACTCACAATGCCCCTGTGGCCCACGTGCCAAATTCTTTGGTAGATGAATTTCCATGGAAAGGGTTCCCTGAAAGCAGGAAGTATTAAAAACCACTGCACTAGGGCAAAAATTCCAGCTCTTGCATTGTGAGACATCTCAGGGAATCCAGGGACATTTTAGTTTGCTGTGAACTTTTCTGATGGTTTCATAACAGCTGTTCAAAGTTTCCCTCTAGCAGGGGCTTTTTGATTACTTTTCTCTGGAAGCATCTGTTTGGTGTGATGTTGGTCTGGCGTAAAGAGGGGACAGTGATTAAGACTGAAAGGGAATGCCAGTGGTATGGGACTCTTGTACTGGTGGTGGGGAAATGACCTGTGCTTATGTTTTTTAATGTGTAATAGTTATCTGAAAAGTTAATCTGACTTGCTGTGCTTTAATTGACAGGGTGTGTGTTAAAATGTCTTGCTTGTAAATAACCACTTGCCTGGTCATCTGTGGTGAATAAGATTCCAGGAGATCAGACACAGATGCTTTTGTATTTCAGAAGTTCATGTTTCCCCTTTCCCCCACTTTACATTATCAGCAATGTGCCACAAATGCTGAATGCCAGACCCTAATTCCAGGGTTTGCTAAAAAAATTATAACTTTTCTTGCAATGTTAAAGTTTTGTTTGTCAGACTTTTTATAGAACCTGCTTATAGGGGCAATCCAAGTCATTTTGTTCTGAGAGGTTGCAAATTCAAATGCCATCTGCTTACCTCTAATGAACGTTGGGCACAATTGATTGGGAAGTTCTCCTGCATAAGTCTCATTGCTCTTATGCAATTCTTACTCATTTCCATGAGGTTTGTACAGGAGAACTTACCGAGAGATTGAACCTGTGGATCAGATTTGTCTGTCTCCCATTCCTTTTATTGCATTCAAAGTCATTATGGTAGGACTGTCTATATCCAAAGGGGCTGGCTCTTGGGATAACAAAACAATAAACTCTATCATAATCTGTACACAATTTATTATGTCCTGCAGGCTTAACATAACTTGCTTCGGAAGACTTCTATATCCTGCAGGCTTAACATAACTTGCTTCGGAACTCACTTCTAGCAATCCATTAAAGCATTAATTAAACAACATCTAAAATTACAACACAAACCACAAAAAGATCAGCAATACAATCAGAACATTTTTAGTCTGTGTTAAGATTTTTAAAAATTCAGATTTGGGCAAAGGCAAAGAAAAATTAAAACAGTAAAACTGGGGGAAATAATATATTGGGGGAAGGCTTGACATATGAAGTTCAACAAGTTTGATGTCAGGTGTGCTGATGCAGGAATAGAATTTGACCACCGAGGTGCTGCAGCACAGAAGAACCTGTCTCTGGCCGACTTATTCCTGAAAGTGGAGGCACACTAATCTTAGCCAGTGAGTGGACAGGCTCAGATGGCAGCAGGGGGTTCTTCAAAGGCATTTCCATTCAGTGGCCTGTTTGTGTAGGCCTCCAGATGACCTTACATGCATGGAATGTGTGCTTGTTTGATGCAGAGAAGTTTCAGTGAGAGCATACTAGGAAACTGTAATTAGTGATGGCTTCCTAAGGCATCTCTTCCTCCCCTCCAGTGTAAGAGTACCTGCAGTAGAAAAACTCAGGTGTGTACCTGTCACATGTTACCATCACCATTCATGCTTTCTTAAAGACATACTCAGATCTATTGCAAGGGCTGTGAATTATTGGACATGTGGGCTGCTTTTCAGGCAAGCCCACATAACTTGTAGTTGGCAAAGCTGAGCACCTAACCAGCCATATATCGTGGCCCCATCAGTCCTTGCTAAAATTCGTCTTTGCAGTTCCAGACAAGGAGGCAGGGGGAAAAAACCCTGCCTGTGGCTTGTGGGATGCATTTGGGACAAACTGGGCCACAAGTTGCATAGTTCCATTCTGGTGTAAATTGTTGTGGACTTGCACAAAGCCTGAATCTCATCTGTATGCATCTCTGATTCTCAGGGGGATGCTAGAAGGAGCCCAGAATGCCTTATGTGGATCGTCAGAACCGAATCTGTGGGTTCCTGGACATTGAAGATAGTGATGTCTGTGGGAAGTTCCTGCGAAGATATTTCATCCTGGATACCCAGGCCAACCTCCTCCTTTGGTACATGGACAATCCCCAGGTGAGGCTTTAATCTCAATAACATTCTTTGCACTGTCAGGGGAAACCCCCCCCCCCCATTTGATTCCCATTGGTCTGTGTTTGTGTTTTTTTGCCCTTCCAAGGTAGACTTGAACTGCAATGTGATGCTGTGATGCATATGTGGTTGCTGCTGAAAGTAGCAGCCCCGTGTATTTTCCTCCTCTTTTCCTTCTCCCTCAGGAATATCTCATAATACAGAACACGTTTCTTGACATGATTGCATTTTGGATCTCTTCCCCTGCTCATCCACATTTCCTGTCCCCCCTCGAGCAGCACAGAAACTGGTAATGCAGTGACATTCTGCGCACTTTGTTTTGGATATTGCCAGGGGAAAGGAGAAGTGACACGGAGCTGTTTTCTCTGGTGGCACCGTGGCAGCTGTGCACGTTCCCTAGGGGCTAGTTCCTGCATCATTCCTGCACGAATGCAGTTCTTGGGGGTTGCAATTTAACAGAGGCCTTTGCATGTTTTTAAAGACCAGTGGTAAGTTAAGTAACTCGTCTGCTACTTGGTGCTGCGCACGTCCCCTAGGGGCTAGTTCCTGCATCATTCCTGCACGAATGCAGTTCTTGGGGGTTGCAATTTAACACAGGCCTTTGCATGTTTTGAAAGACCAGTGGTAAGTTAAGTAACTCGTCTGCTACTTGGTCTCATGAATCCAAGCCCTCTATTCAGGGGGGTCTATTCACACTAATCCTGCCAACCTAGCAGTTCGAAAGCAAGAAATTGCAAGTAGATAAATAGGTACCACTTTGGTGGGAAGGTAACAGCGTTCCGTGCACCGGAGGGTGGGAGCTGGGCCTCACACCTCTACATTTTCTGGGTTTCCTTATGTTTGTTTTTAGTAGACAGATCATATATACTCCAGGGATTAAAAAGGTTCACTGTGCTTATCTGCAAAGGAGCTGATGTCATTCACAAAATGCAGAACCAGCATCTGGCAGCCTCTGTGCAGCTTTGTAAGGGGTAGGGGGGCACTGTGTGCCCTGGACTCTACTTCAGCCATTCTAATACAGTGATACCTTATCCAATGGGGGGTGAACGATGTGTGCAGAATCTCCCTTAGAGCAGGCGAGATACTCCAGGGATTAAAAAGGTTCACTGTGCTTATCTGCAAAGGAGCTGATGCCATTTACAAGATGCAGAACCAGCCTCTGGCAGCCTCTGTGCGGCTTTGTAAGGGGTAGGGGGACACTGTGTGCCCTGGTCTCTACTTCAGCCATTCTAATACCTTATCCAATGGGGGGGGTGAACGATATGTGCAGAATCTCCCTTAGAGCAGGCGAGTTAGACTCTTTTCTGGTTATTTCCAGTCTGGCATTTTGTCTGTTGCACTAAATGACTGATGTGTGGCTTTTCTCCCCACCCCACCCCCGTGCTCTGATGTGAACATGAGCCAATCCAGAATTGGCATGGAGAGCTCTCTGACCTAGGGTCTCTCTTATCCAGTGCTAGAAAAGAGGACTTCAACTGGAGCAGGGTGTTGAACAACAGTCTGAAGACACTACTCCGTTGTCTAGGTATAGGTAGAAATCCAGACTTTCTATACTAAGTGAAGCCAATCCAGAGGCTTCATACTGCCTCCCAACAGCAGGGGCTAATATAGGACATCCCTGTTGCCTTTATGTGTATGTGCATGCGCATATGTGCAGCTGCACCTAAAGAGGGGCTCTGAAGCTTTGTCAGGCATTGTTCTAAATGGTTTGTTAGCTACATCCAGGCTGGGCTCTTGTTTCAAGCGCCAGGATCCTTGGTACAAGCAAGGGTTCCAAGTTACCAGCCGTCATTTTCTGTCTCATGAACCCAAAGAGGAAACCTGACCAGCGGCTCACTCTGACTCATACCCGCCTTCCTCAATCTAAACCTTTTTGCAAGAAAGCCGCAGCAGATCCTATTGTTTGGGAAACCCCCTGGCCAGCTGGACAGTGTAAGCTGAGCTCTGAACTGAGCCAGACCAGTTTAGAAGATGGCATGTGCACAAGGTCACACCCCATCGCTCTGGACTGAGGCACTCTGAAATAACCGCCACTGCTTGATTTTAGTGATTAGCATTAGTCCTTCACACAGAAAATTTTAAAAAAATGACAGCTGCTCTTTAAATGGCCCTGATTTTTGTTCAGAGTGTGATGGGGTTGGTTTAGTGTAGTGGTTAAGTGCATGGACTCTAATCTGGGAGAGCCGGGTTTGATTCCCCACTCCTCCACTCGCAGCTGCTGGATGACCTTGGGCAAGCCATAGTTCTGTCAGAGCTGTTCTCTCAAGGACAGTTCTGGAAAGAACTCTCTCAGCCCCACCTACCTCACAGGGTGCCTGTTGTGGGGAAGGGAAAGGAGTTTGTAAGCCGCTCTGAGACTCCAAGTGAAGGGTGGGGTATAAATCCAGTATTCTCCTCCTCCTCCTCATAGTGTGGAAAGCTCCATCAGCCACCTCTGGGATGACTTCTTTGCAGCTCCAGTTAATGTTTAGCTCTTCTGCCTGCATGGCTAGTACAGATTCTGTGATTTCTCCCTGTGCTAGCAACACCCAGCTCATTAGGAGAGATGTCAGTAGCTTAATATTCAACCACATGGTAAGCTCATTACAGGAATGGTATGGCAGCAACCACAGGGGCAGTAGTGGCACCAGCGTTACTCTGGATAATGTATAAACAGGGCCCAAAGGGATGTTGAATAAGCTTAAACCAGCTGGGTGCCTGCAAGGAACTGTGGGAGGGAGGAATGATACAGAAATCCCACCTGACCCTGCCTCCCCCCAAATATTTCAATCCAAGTTTCTGTAAACTTTGATGGGTTTGAGCAAGCTAATCCCCACCACCACAGTTTTTTTCTTAAAGTGACTTTCAGTGGCTCTCAACATTGTGTTCCTCCTGGAGCATATTCAGTCCTCACTGGGCCTTATTGGTTTGTGGTTTTGCCCCCCCCCCCCCCCCCCCCCAACTGAAGACAAAATCTTTCTGTATGCCAGGCAAGTTCCCCAAGTATGCAGCTGCCTTAACCTTATCTGTGAGCAGGGGGGTTTTTTGTGACCGTTCTCACCGGTGTACTGACTGAGTACTGGCACCTTTAGGGGGCTCTCCCAAGTCCTGCAGGGGGAATTGGTGGAAATTGGAATAACCTAATATATGAGTAGTGGCACTTCTTCTTTTTTAAAAGAACTTTCTATGAGTAGCCCAGTTTTGCTGATTGCCTGATCATACTGAGGCCTGGGGTTGCCACCCTCCAGGTGGTAGCTGGAGACCTCTTGGGATTATTACTGATCTCCAGGCACCAGAGATCAGTTTACCTGGAGAAAGTAACCACTTTGGAAGGAGGACTCTATAGCAGTATAACCCATTGAAGTCCCTCCCCTCCCCAAACCCTACCTTCCTCAGGCTCCACCTCCAAAATTTCCAGGTGTTTCCCGATCCAGAGCTGGCAACCCTACTGAGGCTCAACTACTTTATTAGAGCCAGCATGGTGTAGCGTTTAGCATGTCAGGCTAGGATCTGGAGACGCAGGTTTGGATCCCCATTCTCTCATGACGGCTTGCTTGGTGACCTGGGGGCCAGTCACACTCTTGCCTTAACCTACCTTGCACGGTTGTTGTGGGGATAAAGTGAAGGAGAGGAGAGTGATGTAAACGGCTTTGGGTGCCCATTGGGGAGAAAGATGGGGTATAAGTGAAGGAAGTAAACTAAAAATATAGTGAGATTCTGATTTCTCCAAAATAAGGCAACAAAAGGTGTTTTGAACAAAGTTGCCATCTGATTAGGAGCAGGGCTATTTTTGGGCAGGAACGCACAGGAACGGAGATCCGGCTGGCTCCCAAGTTGGCCACGCCCAGCAGGAACTCATTAGCATAATACGCCACACCCAACAGCAGGAACTCATCAGGATTGGCTACATTAGGGGTGTGTGGCCTAACATGTAAAGGAGTTCCTGCTACAAAAGAGCCCTGGGTTTTGACAACAAACAAGGTCAACAGAATAACAAGCAAAAGGTGGGTGTGGCTGGATAACCACACTTCTGGTAACATGGGGGTGTGGCCTAATGTGCTAATGAGCTGTGCTGTCAGGGGTGTGGCCTAATATGCTAATGGTTTCTGCGGTTGGCTGTGGCCTATTATGCTAATGAGTTCCTGCTGGGCTTTTTCTACAAAAAGAGCCCTGATGGAGGATCCACAGTGGTGACAGTCACCCTGTCTCAGCCTAAGCTCCCTTGCAGGGTTATTGTGAGAATCCTGCTTAGGGCTACCATGAGGTCCATGGAGGAAAGATGAAATCCAAGCATGACAGAGTGGGCCAAAATCCAAAGATCATCTGTCTCAGTTTTAGCATGCTTCCTACTAGGCACCAGTGTTGCTAAATTAACAAAGTGAGACCTTAGCCCATTTGTTGCTGGCTTCTTGGTTAATTAACTTTTACCCCTTTTCAGAACTTGGCTATAGGAGCAGGAGCTGTGGGATCTTTGCATCTGACTTACATTTCAAAGGTAAGAACAAGATGGAGATAGGACTGCAAAATAGGACACTGGGCCTGATGCTTTTTTAAAGTCCTGATCAGTGTTCCCTCAAAGCTGAGTTAGTGTGAGCTACCTCACAGTTTTTTTAGCCTCTGGCTCACACATTTTTGGCTTAGCTTAGGAAGGAGGGCTCCAGAGCAAACTGATATTATGCAGGAGCCAAATTTTCCTGCTCACAACTTTAATGCCAGCCGCTCGCAAACTAGATTTTTGCTCAAAAGACTCCACAGCTTAGCGGGAGCATTGGTCCTGCTCTTCTTCTCCTCTGAATATAGTTGTGTTCTGGCAACTGAATAGCTCTTTGCAGCTACAGGAAGAACCTAACCTGGATGGGGGTGTCATTGTAAAACTTTTGGGCAGGCATTGTTTCCTGTCCCATACAGGGCTCTGCATACCCTAGAGGTCTGCAGCAGGAGTGAATGATGTCCAAAGTGTGTGTGTGTTTAAATATCATTCCACCACTACTGCTGTGGCAAACCTGGGTTGCAAGCAGTGTTCCCTGTAAGCTGAGTTAGTGTGAGCTTCTGGCTTCCGGATCACACATTTTGTCTTAGCTCAGGAAGGGATGGCTCCAGAGCAAATGAATTTATGCAGCAGCCAAATTGCTCGCTCACAGCTTTAACGCCAGTAGCTCACAAAGTAGAATTTTTGCTCACAAGACTCCACAGCTTAGAGGGGACGTTGGCTGAAAGTTGCTCAGCATGACAGGCAGGGGAGTCAGTACTCCTTGCTGAGACAGAGACTGGGTTTGAATTTGAGCCTGGGTCTCCTAGATCAGGCCACTTTATCCATTAAAGCACAGGAGCAGGGAGATTTCGGTGGTAACCGCCAACTTGTGGAACTCTGCTCCAGGAAGTTCTCCTTGCCCCCACGCTTGTCGCATTAAAAGTGTCTGAACCTGAATCTAAATAAATGTTGGTGAAAACATCCCTTCAAAAAACTTTTGTTCCAGAAGGCCTCTAGTTCTATTCTGTAACTTGATTTTTAGACTGCTGTGTTTTGGGGGCATGATGGTGGATTTTTATGCTTTGGCTTAATTGCTCTATATTTTCTATGCTTTGTACTGTTGTGAACTTTGCTGTCTTTATGATCTATTAATTTTGCTGCTGCTTGTTTGCTTGGTTTAATGTGGTTTTGATTGTTTCTATAGTATCAGCTGCCTTGAGTGTTAAGGTTGATTAACAGAAAGATAGGATATACATTTTCTAAAATGAACTTGCGTACCCTGGCTTTCCTTCTCCATACCCTTCTTCAAGTCTGTCTGCCGTTATGCAGCTGATATCTCGTCTCTTCCTCTTATTTCCCCTCCATCATCTTCTGTGCTTATCTGGTCATGAGGCTCCGGCCTGCTGCGTTGCTCCGCCTCCGCGCCAGTTGGTCCGGCCTCCTTCGCTCGCTCGCTCCTTGCCTCGCCAGCCACCATTTTTCTCCGTCGCCACTGCTTCGCTTTGCCGCTCGCCACTCACCGCTGCAACACAGGGACGGGTGCCTCCCCGCTCTAGTGTCATTGGGGGTGTCATTGTAAAACTTTTGGGCAGGCATTGTTTCCTGTCCCATACAGGGCTCTGCATACCCTAGTGTTCTGCAGCAGGAGTGAATGATGTCCAAAGTGTGTGTGTGTTTAAATATCATTCCACCACTACTGCTGTGGCAAACCTGGGTTGCAAGCAGTGTTCCCTGTAAGCTGAGTTAGTGTGAGCTTCTGGCTTCCGGATCACACATTTTGTCTTAGCTCAGGAAGGGATGGCTCCAGAGCAAATGAATTTATGCAGCAGCCAAATTGCTCGCTCACAGCTTTAACGCCAGTAGCTCACAAAGTAGAATTTTTGCTCACAAGACTCCACAGCTTAGAGGGGACGTTGGTTGAAAGTTGCTCAGCATGACAGGCAGGGGAGTCAGTACGCCTTGCTGAGACAGAGACTGGGTTTGAATTTGAGCCTGGGTCTCCTAGATCAGGCCACTTTATCCATTAAAGCACAGGAGCAGGGAGATTTCGGTGGTAACCGCCAACTTGTGGAACTCTGCTCCAGGAAGTTCTCCTTGCCCCCACGCTTGTCGCATTAAAAGTGTCTGAACCTGAATCTAAATAAATGTTGGTGAAAACATCCCTTCAAAAAACTTTTGTTCCAGAAGGCCTCTAGTTCTATTCTGTAACTTGATTTTTAGACTGCTGTGTTTTGAGGGCATGATGGTGGATTTTTATGCTTTGGCTTAATTGCTCTATATTTTCTATGCTTTGTACTGTTGTGAACTTTGCTGTCTTTATGATCTATTAATTTTGCTGCTGCTTGTTTGCTTGGTTTAATGTGGTTTTGATTGTTTCTATAGTATCAGCTGCCTTGAGTGTTAAGGTTGATTAACAGAAAGATAGGATATACATTTTCTAAAATGAACTTGCGTACCCTGGCTTTCCTTCTCCATACCCTTCTTCAAGTCTGTCTGCCGTTATGCAGCTGATATCTCGTCTCTTCCTCTTATTTCCCCTCCATCATCTTCTGTGCTTGTCTGGTCCCTCCACAAGTTTTAAAAAATATTTCTTCATATGAACATATTGAACAAATGAAGCTGTCTTATACTGAATTGGACCCTTGGTCTATCAAGGTCAGTATTGTCTACTCAGACTGGCAGTGGCTCTCCAGGGTCTCAGGCAGAGGTCTTTCAAATCACCTCCTACCTGGTTTCTAACTAGAGATGCTAGGGGTTGAACCTAAGACCTTCTGCATGCCAAGCAGCTGCTCTACCTCTGAGTCACGGTCCCTCCCCAAAGGAAAGGACATACATACCTGCCTTATACTGAATGAGACCATCAGTCAATCGAAGTCAGTATTTTCTACTCAGACTAATGGCAGCACTCCAAGTCTCAGGCGGAGGTCTTTCAGATTGCCTACTGCCAGATCCTTTAACTGAAGATGTTGGGGATTGAATTTGGGACTTTCTGCATTCCAAGCAGATACTCTATCACTGAGCCACAGCCCCTCCTAACTGTATTCTAAACCTATATTTTGGAAGGAAGAAGTGATAAGCTACGTTACTCATGCTAAATTTAATTTTTCTTGCAGAAGAACTTGAATTCTCTTTCTCTTTCTAATCCCCCCTCTTACTGTTGGTAACATGCTGCGCTCTCTGCAACATTATGGGCCACTAAAGATAATACCATTCTTGAGGTGTTTAATTGGAAATGTAATGCCATACCAGCTCCACTATTTGGTGTAGTGTAGATATATAATATGAGTGAAGAGGATCAGGAAAGGACTCGGATAGCCTTAATTCAGGCCATTTTGTCATAAGGCCCAGCTCCCTCATCCCATTCCTGATTCGCCGCCTCAAACAAGTCCCACAACCTCCTTTTCCTTGTAGGCTCCAGAACCCTAATTGCAGTTGCTGCGTAACATTGCGATACTGTGCATGTGTTAGGGTTGCCAGCTGCCTGGAGGGGAAAAAAAACCCTCCTCCCTGTTCCTTAATAGAGGCATGTTTATCAGATAATATTGACCTCTGTGCCATGAAATCCTTCGGGTACCCATTAAGCCTCTCTTAAACGGAAGGGACATTTTGCTTCAAGTCTGTTGGTGGGCCTAGCATGCGTACACTTGCACAGTGTCACAAATAGAGTCAGTGCCAGCAGCCCATTAGAACGGGAGAGGAAGGAGGCAGGCTCAATATTGCTGCTGGGCAGGACTCTCTCTACCAGTCACCAGGCCTGTCCTTTTGTCAAGTTAATTGCCCTGTGGATCAAGCTGGCTTTTATCTTCTCATCATTTTATAATCTGCATCTTAAATGGGGCAGATGTTGGGCTGTCTGGCAGCCGAGTGGGTGTAATGGCAAAGTGGTATTCTCCACTGTGTACATAGATTGATCAGAGGTTCTTAGTGACTGGTACTCTTAGGAGAGGTGTGGTTGAGTTCTTGTGTGGGTTCCCCCCCCCGTGCTGCTTCTCCCTTTTAGGGTCACCAATATCTCTTTTTAATTTTTAAATTAATTTATTTTATTTCTACCCTGCCCTCCCCGCGAAGCAGGCTCTTCTAGCAAGGCACCTATGCCTTTAATTGCTGCATGAGAGTCAGAAGGTTAGCAAGGGCACTTCATCGCATCGCTTGACCTCTGTATGCTAGGAAGGGTGTCACCTGTTGAATGCCTGTCCAGGATGCCTTGGAATCTGGGAGACTCCAAAATGGGCAGCTTATCCTCTTGCCTCCGAGCACAAAAAATAGTACTCAGGTTACAATGCCGCCATCTTACTGCCATCCCCTCTTCCATTTCAGGTCAGTGTGGCTACCCCAAAACAAAAACCGAAAACTCCTTTCTGTTTTGGTAAGTACAAAGGGCAGAGTGGGAAGGATAATTTACAGCTGAGAACACAGTATGGGTACCTGCTGTGCCCCCACTTCATCCATCCAGCAGCTTTTCCCCACTAAAATATTCATCTTGAGACCCCATCATGAATCCCTAGCTAATTTTGGGAACTAGTGTTGTTTAGTGGCTTGGGGCTGTGACCTGGGTAACTGGATCTCATCAGAGCTGGGAAGCTAAGCAGGGTCAGCCCTGATTACTGTTTGGATGGGAGACCGCCGAGGAATGCCAGGGTAGCTATGCAGAGGAAGGCAATATGGGGTTGCCAGAAGTCGGCTGCAGCTTGAATGCAAAAAAAAAAAAAGTAGCTTGGGAACAGGAGGTGGTTCAGATTCTCCCCGTGCCGGCTGTTTTCCCCTGTATGAACTCCATAATGCATATTTTCTGCCCCGCCAGGGAGGGAGCAGGTAGATGGTTCTTACGTCACTTTTTTGCCATGAGGAATGGGGGTGGGGCTCATCTATGCATTTATTGACTAAAACATTGTAAGATGGTCCCTGCTGGATCCATCTAATCCAAGATCCTCTGTCCAGTGATAAACAGCAGAGCTCTCCCTGGAAGCCCACAAGCCTGCTGTCAAGGGAGCCAGGCCTTCCCTATGGCTTGCCTGGCAACAACTGGCATTGAGAGGTACACGGCTTTTAGACATGAAGTTACAATTTTGCCTAATTGTAATAATGGCTAATAAAAAAGGTAAAGGTAAAGGTTTCCCTTCCTCGAAAGCTAGTCGAATCTGACTCTAGGGGGCGGTGCGCGTTTCTGTTTCCAAGCCGAAGAGCCAGCGCTGTCCGAAGACGTTTCCATGGTCATGTGGCCGGCATGACTAAACGCCAAGGCGCACGGAATGCTGTTACCTTCCCACCGAAGTGGTACCTATTTATCTGCTTGCCATTGCTTGCTTTCGAACTTTTAGGTTGGCAGGAGCTGGGGCCAGAGATAGGCTCCCTCTCCATCATGCAGCTCTAGGGTCTCAAACTGTGGAGCTACAGACTTTCCAGTCCGCAGCTCAGCGTCTTAACCTCTAAGCCACCGCAGCCCCCTTGTGGCTAATAGCCAATTATAAATGTGTGTTTAAAGTGCCATCAAGTCGCAGCTGATTTATGGTGACCCCAGCAAGGGGCTTTCATGGCAAATGAGAAGCAGAGGTGGTTTGCCATTGCCTTCCTCTGCAGTCTCCCTTCTGCGTACCGACTGCTTAGCTTCTGAGATCTGCTACCTTCCCTCCCAACTAGAAACATATCCTCTGTGAATGTATCTAATTCTTTCTAACGGGACCTAAGTTAGTGACAGTGAGTTCCATAGTTAATTTACATATTGTGTGATATTTATTTGCAATGTTATCCTGCCCATAGGGTTGGAGCAGGTGCTGGATACCTTTTTGTTTGTTTTAAAAGTCCCTGTGCATAATATGGAAGGGTGGTCTGTTAATTATGCAGTGCTAATTTTCATGATTACAGATGGGATCTTGAGGTAATTACCTTCATGCTCCTGGCATATATCCGGTAGTTGCAATGGTGGTGTTACCATGACTGCTTTTCTAAGTGTGGGCAATTAATTGTCTTGCAATTTAGTGTGTGTAATGGGAGGTGAATCACAGACCAAGTAGCTCAGTGCTGTGTGTTACTTGGGACTCCTCTCCAAACCCAGATACTTTCAGTCAAGCCATGAGGTCCTTTTCCAGTACTTTTTACAGACCCAGACTCTGTTGGAGACCACCACTGGATTTTACAGCAGATGTGAGACCGCCATTGAAAACAGCAGCCCTGCATCTCCCCCATAATATCGAGCAATATTAAGTGCATGCTATGAGCTGTCCCAAACCCATTAACTGCAGCCCATAAAGTGATATTGGAAAGCTTGCCGTGCAGTGATGTCACATCCCATGTTAGCTATTATGAGAGAAGAGGAGAAGTCACGGAGCTGCTGTTTTTGATGGAAGCTCTGTTTCTGTTATAATGTCTGGCTGAAGTTTCATTGTTCGATAACAGGCTGATTTTGAAGGCAAAGTGTCCCTTATCAGTAATGTTGTTCATATACCCAGGTTTAACTGTGCACAGTTAGTTGCATGCAGAGTCTATAAATGCTGAATGAGAGCTGATAACACAAAACAGGAAGTTCCTGGTTCATATCTTGCTCTTCTTTGCCTTTGTATTCAAGCTGCATCTTGACCTTCAGCACCTAAGTGTTTATTATGCTTTCCCCCAGATCTGCACAACTTGCATGTGCTTATGAGTTCCCTGCTGGGAACTCTGTTCCCAGATGCACAATGCCCAATTCAGATTGGGGCTGTGGTGCATCAGGGGCTGTGGTGCATTTCCCAAACCTGAAGTGTTTCTGGAGGGTGCTGCTTGCTCCATTGCAGGGCTTCATGTGTATTGATGAGATGTACAAAGGTTTCCTCAGTGGGGCAAATAGCATTTCTCCTTGGTCAATTTGGGGTGGGAAAGCAGCATGGGGATATAAGCACCCTCTCCCCATACACCATGATCCCCAGTCCAAAGCAGGCTGGTAATTGAGTCCCCAATGGGGATCTTACAAGCACACGTCTGACTGACAGTCCTTTTGCTGGACCTGACCCAAGGACTGTGTATCATGTAAACAGGCCTCCAGTGCTCCTTCCCCTCTTTATAATACAGGGCTATTCTTCTTTTACAAGAGGCTATTTAAAGACTGCAGCAAGAGAGCATATATGCAGTGATTAGAACATTTGAAAGCAACTATATATGCATTCTAAACATATACGTTTATTCAGAGGTACAGCCTTTCTTCATAAAAATATGCCTCCATGCAGTTCAGAGGGGGTTTAGCCGAGCATTGCAGTGCGAATAGGCATCCAGATCTGCATTGTATCTAGGCTGACCGGTCACATGGAAACTTGCTTCTGTGCATACATCTCCCTAGCTAATTTAGGGCGATTGTATTACAAAAAGTTACCAGTTTGTTAACTGGCTACTTTGTTATTAAGGCCATGTGGTAGAATGAAGGTTGTAGTGTCTTGAGGCACTGGAATGGAGGAACGGACATTACTATTTCAGATGTGCACATGCCAGAAGAAATTCTCTGCATTAAAACAAAAAAACAGTTCCCTGCACGTAGGAACCGGCTCATTAGGAATGCAGCTTCAGTGGCAAATTGTTGGGGTTTTTGAGAAAAATAAAACTTGGTTTTCAGCAGAGATAAAATAGCTTAGCAATGCCAGAGTAAAATAATTCAGACTCAGAGTCCATGTGTGTTTAAAATAGAAAGTTTTTACTACATTCTAGCATAGGGAAGGGTAACTGGGATGAAAATAACAACAGAGCTAAATTCCCTACATCTTTACACTACAACGACAAAACTAGAAGAGAGAGATAATGGCTTCTGTACTTCTTCTTCAGAAACGGCACACAAAGACGGGAAGAGAAGCCATAAAATGCTAAAACGCTTTGACACTTTGCTTCCAATGAAAATCCTAGATCAGGGAGAAGTTTCCCGGGCTTGTAGTTCTAAAACATCATAGGCTACATGAAACGTGTGATTTCCTGTTACAACACAAACAAACCTTTAACCCCATATATACTGAGTGTTTTTAACATGTAATACCCAACACAAATATCTTCGAGACGGTCTTTACCAACCTATGAAGGGTCTAAAAGAGAGAGAAAGGGCTGGCCAGATGAGCTTCCCTGGGCAAGAAATTCTAGAAGTGGGGTGCCAGTAGCAGTACAGCAGCCCTAGACGCCTATGATGGCAGAGGCATTTGCAGTGAGGACGGCTCAGGTGATCTCTGAACATGGCATGTGGGGAATATGCTGGTGGAGCTCTTCCAGAAAGTTGGAAGGAGACTGACCGTCTTCGTTGCCTTCAGCTCTGCTGAACTCTGATGGTGATCTTTGTGTCCACAGTTATCAATGCTTTGTCGCAGCGCTATTTCTTACAAGCCAGTGACCAGAAGGATCTGCAGGACTGGGTGGATGCACTAAATCGGGCCAGCAAGATAACGGTACGTTGCCCTGTGTGGGCACCTTCCGTTCTCCAAGTTTCATTTGATTTTTTTTTCTAGTTTCCTTTCAAACAGGAAAGGTGTAGGTGCTTCAGGTTTCTCTGATAGTGATGGGTCTACAACCACCTTAGGTGAAACCATGGCCATTAACGTGGTGTAAAACCCAACAGAAATAAGTATTGTCTTTAATCATAGATGTTTGTATTTTTCATGGAGAAACAGGTGTTTGCTGAAGCATTGTAAAATGTCACTCCCTTAGAACAGATGTGTTACCTCTAGGCTACATCCGCAGGCTAGACTGATCTTGTCAGATCTTGGAAGCTAAGCAGGGTCGGCCCTGGTTAGTCTTTGGATGGGAGACCACCCCGGAAGTCCAGAGTTCTTACACAGAGGCAGGCATTGGCAAGCCTCATCTGTTCCTCTTTTGCCTTGAAAGCCCTGTGGGGTTGCCATCAGCTGGCTGTAACCTGAAAGCACTTTTCACCAACACACCCCTAGGTAGTGCATCAGTTCCAGGAAAATATTACTTTCTGAATGTGCGAAGGACTTTAATGAGTTGCTGAAGAAGTGTGATTTTTATAGAAATATTATTATACGAGTAATATCTTATACCTTTATGCAAGTATTGCAATGATTGATGTTATGCTGATTGTGCTTCTTGTAAAATAGGCCCGCACAACTTCTGACCCACCATGCCAAGCACAGCCCACATGCCGAGGAATGTCTGGTGGAACAAGCCCTCTGTGACCTTGAAGTCTCACGTAGGCAGCCAAAACCAAATCAAGGCTAATCATTACCGATCTGCATATTTTTCTTATCATATTATCCTAGCAGCATACTTAGTAATTACAATGACGTCATTAGCATCCGTCTTTCAAAGTGTTACGAGTCTATTATTTCAGCAATCCTTGCAATAACCCTGTAAAAGTAATCCTGCATTATCTCCTTACTCCAGATGGGAAGGGCTTGAGCCTGAGAGATGGTGGCTTGCCTGTGGCCACCTAGCAAGTGCTTGGCTGAGGCAGGAAGTGGTGTGGCTCAGGGTTTTGGGGGGGGTTTGGCTGCCTCTTGGAAGGAGCTGCTGTGTAGAACAGAAGCATGCCCTGTCTCTCTCTGCATGCTGAGAAGAGCAGCAGGACAGTCAAGCGAGGTCACTCAGTAGTACAGCAGATTCCTCCAAGTCTGTGGCCCTTGGCTTGTTCCTCATGGTGTTACCCTTCCTGATGCTAGACATGTTTCACATCCCTGGCTCTTTTGGCCTACTGCCCATGCTTCCTGTCCTTGACACTGGTGAGGTCGTAACACTGGCTCTTTCTTCCTGTCATACAGCCCTGATATCACATGACTTCCTGTCACGTTCTTCCCTCTTAGTGAGTCCTGGCTCTGGAAGGGTTGAAAACTGCTCTGTGTCATGTAAACTGCTGCTTTCCCACAGATTGTGCATGAATGTGTGAAATACAAATAAGCTTGCCCCTCTAAAATCATAGGCGTGGGGGGGTTCCTGTTCACAGTCCACATATACTCTGACTTCGGGGTGACCGCCTAGGTCTAGCTCTGGGCATGTATTAAGCTCCCGCAAAGAGCTACAGACATTTCATTCTCTTATTGGGAAAAATACTTGCGAGATCTGAAGCATCTCAGGCCAAACCTTGGTATAGCGGCCAGCTTAGATGGATGGGTTTCCTTCCACCTCAGTGGCTGTCAGGCTGTTGCCACATCAAATGGAACCTGTGGGGAAGGGAACCCTGCTGTGTGTTCCGGCTGCTCTGTGGTGTTCAGAAAGGGTTGTGCCACTACAAACACAGACCTTTGAGAGATCAAAGCACACCTTCCTCCTGCCTCAGCTGCCTCAGCAGCTGTGTCTCAGGGCTTGGCTTTCACTGGTTCCATTACCAAGATGCAGCTGTAATTCTCCAGTTTTTTCCCCCCACCTGCGCTCTGAGGAAACCCTGAGTTTTCTTGGAATCTGTTTTCTAGTGGGAAGGCCAGCAATGGCTTCTTGAAAGAAGAAGAGTACAGCAGAAATGTTTCACAGAATTGTTTGCAATCTTCAGAAGGTCTCTGGCAGATACGTAGAAGGTTTCTCTACAGACAAATCAATACACAAAGATGTCTTTGAGGGTAGGGAGTTGTAAAGATTACTACTTAAAGCCCATAGTTACCAAAGCAACATGTTACTGTCTGTCAAGTTCCTGTGAAACACAGACATACTTCAGTTTGTGTTTGTAAATTAATGGATTATTTTGCTTGGTGTCTCTCTCCCCTCCCCCATACAAATCCTGGGCCAAGAAAATTTATAAAAGATGCAAAAGATCTCTCAAATTTTGTATCTCATTCTTCCTTCAAGGAGCCCACATGTATGCTCCTCCATTTTATCCTGGCAGTCCCTCCGTGGTGTAGGTTAGGCTAATAGATGAAGACTGGCCCAAGGTCACGCACTGAGCTTCACTGGACCCAGGTCTCCTCAGTCTGAAGGCCCAGCCACACATTATGTTGTCTTCGTGTCCTCCATGGGTCCCAGATGTGCTTGAGAAAATGACCATATCTGAGGTTGGCTTAATGAGAAGTACATTCACCTGGATTCAGGGGCTGACTTGACACAAGCATAAAGGCGTCCTGTCCTTTTTCTCCCTCCCAGCTCACCCCAAACAAGAACAGTGTAGTTTCTGAAACCGGAAGTAGTGTCCTACTGCACTCTTGTTTCCTGATTCCCTGGCCCTGCAGACGATGGCTTTCTTGACATTTTGGCCATGGGCTCTTGTCTTGAGAGAACTTTAATCTGAAAGGTGACCCTTTAGAATTGATGTGGAGCCGATTCACACATTATTATTTTAGTTATTTTATTGAAAACATTTTTATGACGTCTTTCCACCCTATCAGGGTCTCCAAGGCAGCACACGTAAAAACACTAAAACAATGAAAAAACAACATTTAAAATTATAAAATAATTCAATAAAAACATATAAACAAGCAATACCAGAACCAGGGAGGAGGCCAGGAACGGTCATTGGGGGGATGCCAAATGAAACAAACAAGTCTTCACCTCCTGGCGGAAGACACTGGCCGATTCTGCATTGGCTTTTTCCTTCGTTGTTTTACCAAACCCACCTTGGAACAGAAATTCCCCTCCACACTGCATGCCGCTTTCACTTTCTTTCATCATCGGGTTTTATGGTACCTTCTGTATAATTTATTGCCGTTCAGGGGTGTCTTTGCAGTCAGTACGGCATTGCCTCGGGGTATCCGAATGTGGTTTTGAGCTGCACCTTTTCCTCCCAGTTGAGAAAATGTGGAGCGAATGCCAGATGCAGAATCACCCACTGATAAAAGGAGACAGACACATTTCCCTGGGGAGGGAGTTCCAAAGTTTTGGTGCCATGACTGAGAAAGCCCTTTCTTGGGTTGCCACCTGTCTAGCCTCACGTGGTGGGGACAACCAAAACAGGGCCTCCAAAGGCATAATGTTTCTTTCAAGGTTTCACCTAAGATGTTTTATGGATAACTGTGGAATATGAATGGGGTGCGACAAACTTGGTATTTGCAAACCCTTGTATTGTGCATGTATGTTCAGTAAGGAGCTAGGAATTGGCCATAGCAAGCCCATCATGTAAGAAAATACCCTAAAATGCTGACAATTAAGGATCCGTAACATTTGGAAGACCTGCCTGTCCTCTCAAACAGTTATTCCAACTAGCAAAAGCCTTTAATCTACCATGTTCTTACTAATAGCAGAGAAAAAACCATTGGGACATCTTTTTACACAATCGCTTGATGAAGCTTATTCATGGGGTGATGTTGTTCAAGCGATAATTACAGCCATCATGTATCGTTCTGATTGCTTGAAACTGTTAAAGCTGATCACCCATCCTGGATAATGGCTTACGTAAACATTTATAAAGGGACACATGTCCAGTTATCAGTTGGTGCAGAAACCAATAAAAGCCATTGAATTGCTATTTAGTATCACTGTGCTTAAGCACCTTTAAGAGTTGACTTCTCACTCATTTTCAAACAAGATAGATTGTCATGCTCCCCTTCTTACAGAGGCTGCAGAGTAAGTCTTTATCACTCAGCCCTCATTTCCAGTTGTTGCCTTGGAAATCTCAAGCTCCTCAGTGACTAGTGAGTTAATTTTTAGCAAGCTTTGTGGGCTTGCAAGTCATCTTTCTCCCAGGCTACAACTGTGAGCATAGACAGACAGCAATTCTTCATGCATTTGCTGGGCTCAGCATTTTGCTGCCTTCATCATTCCCGATGTGGTTTGAGACCAGAACTGTGAATGCTGCGTCATAGCAGCCAGCAAGGATTTAGGCCAGTTGGGTGTTAGCCTATTAAAAGCTTACTAATGCCTTAGCAAGTTTTACCAGCCCAGCCCACAGCTTACCTTTACCTTTGGGATAGAAGCAAGTAGATCCAACCTGAATTCGCTACAAGATTGTAAAGATGAGTTTTTACTGTTCAGCGGGAGAAATGCAAGAGGGATCCGTAGTCTGAACCAATGTTCCTCTGGTTCAACCTGAATGTTGTACTGGGAAGGCCTTACCCATTATGCTCCACCCAGAGAGATACATCTGTGGATACCAAGAGCTGCCAGACATCTCTGTGGGATTAGCACCCAAAGGGCCACACAGGTGGCGGTGATGATGTTATGGCAACTTGTGGGAGGATGCCTGAGCATCTTTGAGCCCTTATGCTGGGCAAGCACTTAGAAGGCAACACCCGGTATAGTAAATGTCATTAGAGAGTACCAGCATCGCTGCAGGGGGTGGGCAAATGACTTCATATTGCAGCCTCTCCAGAGAAACTTGTCACTGCAGTATGTTGTGCTGGAAAATCAAGAGTTCTAGTCTCCAAGGAGGAAATACGTTAAGTGCCGCCAAGTCCCTTCCACCTATGGTAACCCTGTGAATCAGTGTCCTATTGTTAACAGCCTTGCTCACGTCTTGCAAACTGAGGGCTGTGGCTTCCTTGATTGAGTCAATCCATCTCATCTTGGATCTTCCTGTTTTCCTGTTGCCTTCAACTTTTCCTGGCATTACTGTCTTTTCCAGTGATTCTTGTCTTACCGTAATGTGACCAATTATGATCGCCTCCGTTTAGTCACTTTAGGTTTTAGGGAGATTTGATCAGAAAACCCACTGATTTGTCTTTTTGGCTGTCTGAAGTATACATAAAAATCTCCTCCAACACTGTGTTTCAAATGAATCAACTGTCTTCCTGTCAGCTTTCTTCACTGTCCAACTTTCACACCTGTACATAGTAATGGGGAATACTATGGTATAAATTATCTTGATCTTGGTCACCCAGTGACTTATCTTTACAATTAAGAGTGCAGTACTTTGTTGTTGTTGTTCAGTCGCACAGTCGAGTCCGACTCTTCGCGACTCCATGGACCACATCACCCCAGGCCTTCTGGTCTTCTGCCGTCCTCTGAAGTTTGCTCAACTTCATGTTCATTGCATCTATGACACTGTCTAACCATCTCATCCTTTGCCGTCCCCGTCTTCTTTGACCTTCAGTCTTTCCCAGCATCAGGGTCTTCTCCAGTGAGTGCTCCCTTCTCATTTGGTGGCCAAAGTATTTGAGCTTCAGTTTCATTATCTGGCCTTCCAGGGAACAGTCAGGGTTGATTTCTTTTAGGATTGACTGATTTGATCTCCTTGCAGTCCAAGGGACTCTCAAGAGTCTTCTCCAGCACCATAGTTCAAAAGAATACTTAATACTAGCCAAATATTGCAAGAACGAGAAGAATACCTACTTTATAGGAGCAGCTGTTGACATTTTGAGGGTGATATTGCCGAGGTCCTGGAGGAGAGTCCTTACCACCCAGCCCCCCCAAATTTGATGGGTGTCTGGTGGCTCTAGCTTCACTGGTGGGGCTGAATCCACCCTAAAGCACTCTAGAGATTGGTGCCTCCTACCCTCTGCTGGGGTAGCGTCGTGCTAGCTTAGCTTCCAGTCCTTAGCCATCCTCTTCCCTTTCGTAATTTGTTGACAAGGATCATGGCATTAATACAAAAAGAGTTAAAATTAGGTAGGAACTCCCCCCCCCCATCAGAACACACATATTTAATTTACTATTAAGTTAGGTTTATTAACAAAGCGTACAGAAAAGAGTTGCATTCGTTGGAATAAAATCTCTGGCATGTTGGCGCTACTTCCTGATTTACCAGATGGGTAGAGACAAACTTTCTGTGGCTGTGAAAGGTCTGTTGCAAAAGTAGTAGCTGCAGTCAGAGTCGAGTGTTTGCCCTGCTTGCAGCAGATTTAGCATGGACTCCAGGACACCTAGCTTTTTCTACCTCTGTGATGGAACAGACCTGCTCTGACTTATTTTATTTATTTATTTATTATTTTTGATTTATATCCCTCCTTGCCTGTATGGCCCTTTGGGTGCTAATCCCATAGAGATGTCTGGCAGCTCTTGGTATCTACAGATGTACCTCTCTGGGTGGAGCATAAGGGGTAAAGCCTTCCCTGTACAACATTCAAGTTGAACCAGATGAGTTCAGACCAGTGTTCCCTCTAAGCTGAGTTAGTGTGAGCCAGCTCACAGTTTTTTAGCCTCTGGCTCACACATTTTTGTATTAGCTCAGGAAGGAGGGCTCCAGAGCAAACTAATTTACCCAGTAGCCAAATTTCTGGCTCACAGCTTTAATGCCAGTGGCTCACAGAGTAGAATTTTTGCTCACAGGACTCCACAGCTTAGAGGGAACATTGGTTCAGACTACGGATCCCTCTTGCATTTCTCCCGCTGAACAGTAAAAACTCATCTTTACAATCTTGTAGCAAATTCAGGTTGGATCAACTTGCCTTCTTCATGCCCCCTCGTATTCCTGGAGGATGCTATTCCACTTCCTGCCACTAGGGTGCATTGCCACCACCTGCTCAGTTTAGGGGTCCTGAATGAGAGGAACAGGACTCTCAAATCCCCCTTCCCAGTTCTGAGGCCAGGCCTCAAGGTCTCCTGCTACTCAGCACCTGGCTACTACAGGGACCAAATGGGTCTTTGGGGGTCCCCTGGAGTGTTGGCCACTTGCACACTGTGCTTCCTCTTCTGTAGTGTGTCCAAAAACATTTGGAGGACTATGTAGTACAGAGAATTCAGGGGTCACAACCAATATTAAAAAGGATTTATTAAAAAACTTAGTTATACAAGGTTCTAAGGATGTCCCATTACCTCAGGCTCCCTGTAGCCAGCAGACCAGGCAACGTGGCCAAGATGGCTCCTGGCCTGCAGAACAGAGCTCAGCAGTCTGTCCTTTTCCAAGGACCAGCACCAAGAGACCCTTCCCCCGGGAGCAAGCACTTTTATTAAACCTCTGATTCTACCCATCTTACATCACTCTCTCCACCCCTTTTGACCTAGTCCTCCCAGGTCACACAGGTGGACCCTGGGACACCCAGGTGCATCCTGGGAGTCCTCCTGGAAGGCATTCTGGGCAATCTCCAGGAGATTCCTAACACCAAATACCTTAGTTATTTGCATAAGTATGGCTGGTAATTGACCTAGCTTCCTGCCCTTCCAGTGAGGGGGGGTGGAATCAGGAATACTTTAAAAACTCAGATTGAAAACTCAGGGGAGGGGGGTTCCTGCATAGGGTTACCAAATGTGCCCGGGGGGCGGGTAACCGTGAGTTGAAAAAATTTGGCAACCCTATTCCTGCACAATCTCCAAACTGAATTTCTTATTTATATAATTTATACCCCACTTTTCTCCCATAATGGTGACCCAAAGCCACTTACAACATTGTTCTCCCTTCATCTATTTTATCCTCTCAACAATCCTGTGAAATAGGTTAGGCTGAGTATGCATGGCTGGCTTCAATAGGGTTGCCAGGTCTGGGTTGGAAAATACCAGGAGACTTTGGGGGTGGATCCGGGAGAGGGCGGGGTTTGGGGAGGGGAGGGGCCTCAGCAGGGTATAATGCCACAGAGTCCACCCTTCAAAGCAGCCATTTTCTCCAGGGAAGCTGATCTCTGTCAGCTGGAGATCAGTTGTAAAAGCAGGATATCTCCAGCCCCCACCTGGAGGCTGGCACCCTAGGTTTGAAGCTTCCCTGGCAGAGTTGGGATTTGCATCTGGCTATCCCAGATCCCAACCTAGTGTGTGTTCTAACTACTACAACAGGCTGGGTGTGTTTCACAAGGAGTGATGCCTCTTTGAAACTACTTCCAGCTGTGGGGGGAAAATCAGGTCTGCTTCCAGCCTAGCAGATCACAATATCAAGGAAACATGGATATTTACTGTATTTCTAAGCCGCTCTTTCAGCCTAGAAGTTCTTAAATGGCTTACACATTAAAATACTAACATTTTAAATTGGTATGTGAGGCTTTAAAGGTTAAAACTGTAACCTAGAGAGATAAAAATACCAAGGGACATTTGGATGTTCCATTTGTTTCTCTTGGGTTTTCTGCACGTGTGGCTTATTTTTTGTTTTTTTAACTATTGATCTGCTAGCAGGGGAATAGCGTTGAGTGCTGGGGATCAGCAATTCTTCCAGTTGCTGCACCACTTTATTTTCTTACAGACATTACTTTTTTAAAAAAAATAAGGATTTTTTTCTTCTTCAGTTGTTGTTGCTGCATGTATATTGTCCCTGTGGGAAAAATGCCCTCCACTCAAAGATGCACCCCAGTATTTGGACACTTGAGGCTGCAAACTGGTTTTTTAAAAAATTGGTGTTGACAAATGGTGGGCAAATGGAGAAAAATCAGTTGCTCACCCATCTGATCAGTCGCCTTAATGTTTAGTCATGTAAATGTCTTAGCAGGCCGAGAACAATGAAGGGGGCCAGTGGAACCACTCTGCAACAGGTCACACCAGAATTGAAAGGGTTAACAATTGCTTCCAAATCCCATTTAAAAAAATCAAATGTCCATAAAAAATAAACATAGCAAGGGGATATCAAGGCACAGGGATGTCTTCTAGTGATGTCTCACTATTAGGGAGCAGTTTAAAAAAACAAAAACACGGCTGCCCACCTGGATCTTTCTTCAATATAATTAATTTGATACCTGTTACCATATTCAGAACTTGCACCATGCAATTGCAGGATGCACATGTCTTGTAAAGGAGTTTTGGAAGCTTAACAATGTACATTTCCATATAATATTTTTGTTTTTGTTTTGCCCCTGGGGAGACATTCAGAGATGGTTTGCCATTTCCTGCCTCTGCATAGCAACCCTAGACTTCCTTAGTGGTCTCCTATCCAAATACTAACCAGTGATGACTTTGCTTAGCTTCTGAGATCATATGAGATCTGGCTAGCTGGGATATCCAGGTCAGGACTCCATATTATCAAGAACATCCATTTTTACCTTTTAGATGCCAAAAGGTTTGAGGTTTGTGGTGTAGTGAGGGACCTACATGTCCAGCTAGTCAACTTTGTCATTATACACTAGCAATATTATTAGATTTTGTACTAAACAAAAAGGTTTGGCAAATAAATACACTGTGTAACTTTCAGCATTCTCCTAGGAACCGGAATGATGTCTTACAGGTTCCATTTAAAAATTCCAGCTGTCATTCATATCCCAGAAACTTTACAGGATGACAACAAGGTAGTTTGACTCAGTACTTAACTTTGGAACATGCTAATGAATGACTGAAGGTCTGAGAAAGTGTGTACAGTACTGGAGGATGCCTTGTCTGGCAGCTAGCGGATTCTCAGAAGGAAGTGGGTTGGTTATGGGCATTAATGTCTCCCTTTTATTTCATAGGTACCAAAGACTGGGAATTTGTCTCCAACCACAGATGTTGCAAAGCCCCCCTACAAGACTGAGATCATCGGAGGGGTGGTTGTGCAGACACCCATCTCTGTCAATCAGGTGAGAAAAGAATAAGTATTCAACTAGATCTCTTGCTGTAGAGGAGGGCATGGGGGGACGGCCATAGCTTAGTGGCAAAACATCTGTGGAAGAGCCTGGATTCAGTTGCCAACATCTGCAGTTGAAAAGATCTGTGGTGGCAGTGCTGGAAAAAATCTCTTAGACAGTTGCTGTCTGTCAGAGTAGATAATATTGGGACCAATGGATCAATATTCCTGCTTAGTATAAAGCAGCTTCGTGTTCTCTGTGACTGTGCATTTCTAGTGCAAGTCTGCATAGGAAACGGTGCTTTTGCATGAAGGATTCATAGTAGCCCCTCTGAAACCTCAGACAGATTGCCAGCAGGTTTGTTGGTCCCCAGAAACAAAAGCTGTATTGTTATCATGTGTTTTTAGATGCGTCAGTGTGAACAGATGTGTCAATGTGAATGCAGTCCATTTTTCTAATTGGAGCCTGATTTCACACACAATAAATTGAACATAAGGAAGGAAACCGTCCTTTCACCACTTCTCACTCTCACATGCTAAAGACACTGTTGGTTTAGGTTAGGGTTGGGTTATTACATAAGTGGGTCCTAAACTTTGTCTGTTTAAGAGGCCTCATATGATAAAAAATTATTATTCTCATGTAAAGGGCACTGGAAATATTAAATAGGTGGTGCAGTTAGTTTGAGCTTGGGTGGGCAGCAGCTTTTGGTTTATTCTAGAAGTGATGCAACTTTTTTCTTTAGAGGCTCCTCATATAATGAGTTCCTAAACTGTCATTTACCTAATTTATCCCTAAATCCACTTGCCTCTGTGAGCCGCCCTGAGCCCACTGGGGAGGGCGGGGTATAATTTAAGAGGCCTCATATGATAAAAAATTATTATTCTCAAATAAAGGGCACTGGAAATATTAAATAGGTGGTGCAGTTAGTTTGAGCTTGGGTGGGCAGCAGCTTTTGGTTTATTCTAGAAGTGATGCAACTTTTTTCTTTAGAGGCTCCTCATATAATGAGTTCCTAAACTGTCATTTACCTAATTTATCCCTAAATCCAGCTCTAATTCTCTTCTGTATGCAGTTTAATGAAATACCCCCAGTCTGGGTAGTGACCCATTCAAATGGCTGTAAGGAATCTTTGACAAAATCCTAGCAGTACCTTTACAAGCCTGTGTATAATACTGAGAATCTGAATGGATAACCAAAAAAAAAAGTTGAGGAGAACAATAAAAAGATGTGGGCTGGAGAATTAGCAAGCAGTCAAAGTAATATCAAGCACCCCAGCACTAGCAGCAAGCTCTCACTACAAGTGAAATATTTCAAACACTTGCACACCGAAAAACATTCTCTGCTCAAACAGGGAGACAGGAGGCCAAAAAGCTAGTGTGAGAAGGTAAAGCAGGGGTAAAGTTACCTACATATCCTGGTCCAGTTTCTAGTGTCCAGGCTTCAAGGAAGCAAATAATTCAAAGAGGAAAAGTAATAGTGTTATCTTGTAGCTCACAAGATGGGGGTATTTCTGGGTGAGCAATAGATTGATTTAAGGACAGGTTCTGGCTGCAATGATAGGGCAAGAGGCTTAAATTAAAATGTCTTTCCCGGATTAGAAATGCCTTTCTATCACTAAACAGAACACACAACTTTAAAGGCCAAGAACAGAGGAGGAATGTAGTCACTGCATTAACAAAGCATCATTATCCCAAGGGTCTTAAGTTATTGGGACAGTCAGACCCATTTGTAGGGAATGCAGATGTGGGCAAAGCTCTGACTTTGGCAGAATGCTAATTCTGCAAGATCCTTTTTGTGGCTAAAGGCGTGCTGATTCATCATTGTGAGGCTTGGCTTCTCTCTGGCATGGCTATTTTTTTTATCTAGAAAGTGTGATGAGACTTGTTCTGCTTACTCTGCTAGGCCTTCTTTGTTGTGGTAATGAGAGAAAACTTTGCACAGACCATGAAACAAGATGGAAAAGAAAAATTGGTCTCAAATCAATATGTGGGGGTGGGAAGGGGAGAGAAAGGCCAAACAAAACAAGGGTTTTGTTGGCGGCAATCAAAGTTCTGCAATGCAAATTAGTTCTTTGAAACAGTTAATTGGGCTCAGTGTTTAAATAAGGGGGTGGGTGGCAGAAAAGATGTTTCAGGCTTTGATCTTAAGGCTGGGTCTTTTTGTTTGCAAACTATGCAGAATGCCCTGCAGACTAGAATAGATAAGGTGGTGCTGGATAGATCTGGTATAAAGTTTCACCTGGAATCTTCAGGACAGAAGGGAAAATGGCATCCTGATTGAAAATACAAAAACAATATTTGATCAAATGCCTTTCTAGCACTAAACAGAACACACAACTTAAAAGGCCAAGAACAGAGGAGGAATGTAGTCACTGCATTAACAGCATCATTATATTAATAAAACAAGAGATTAATTTAGAAGGCCATGCTAAGGAATGAGTCCATGGAAGTCAAATTGAGTATTACTTAGAGTTTCTGGACCTTTAGACAGGAGCTGGCCCTTCTTTCCTGAAACAAGATAGAACAGGGCAAAGATGATGGCTTGAGTGAGGTGGTCCTGGAGAAGTTATCTGCCTTCATTAAAAGGGTTGTGTGGATCTGATCCTCCTAAACAAAGATGCATCATTTTCCGATGTTTTGCGCAGACAATGCCTCACTGTGGCTGACTGCAGAGGTGAGCAACCTTTTATTATTAAACAACCAAACTACCGTATTTCAAAATTCAGAGTAGGAGATCAGCAAAGAGCAAGTTAAAAAAACTAATTTGCATAACTGAAACTAATATGGTTTAACATTACTGATAACTGACATGTTGATTATTATTCAGTAAGTCTCAGAATAATAAATATACACAGGAGGGCCCAATGCGATTGTTTTAATACACTGGCATAAATCTGCACATGGTTAGCACTTGGATTGCTGGCAACTACTTACCTCCTATCATTCCCCTTTCTTTGAAGCATCTTTTAAAAGCCCATAAAAATCTTTGCCTGCCATTCCTTTCATATACCAGTTATCTCAGTATCCTACCTATTCCTCTAATATACCTTAAAGATTTTTAAAGCACCAGATTTGTCTCTGGGGCCATAGGTTGTAGGCCCTTGGCTTATTGTCTTTACCGTGGTTCTAAATGTTCAGTGAAATCATGGCTTAGTTTGCAGAGCTAAGCCCAGCTGCTGGAGGGGTGTGTATAGGAAGACAGCAGTGAGACTGGCTTGCAAGCAAAGGTTTCTTTGCACCTAGTGATAATTTATTGTTAGAAGCAAAGATGTTGGGGCACTGTGCCCTTGCGAAGCTTTAAAAAAATGGGGTAAGCAAGCATGTAGCAATCCCTGCAGTCAACCAGCCAATGTGAACCCAGCAACCTCATTTGAGATGTGCCAGAATGCTCTTGCAGATTGTGCCTAAAACAGGGACTGCCCAATATCACGGGGCACTAGCACTGCCATTTGTTTTTTTTTGTTGTTTTTTTGGATCCCCCTAAGGGGAATTTTTAATTGATTTTTTACAAACTACAAACTACAACCGAAAATATGGGAAGGGGAACTACATCTAAGGAGAAAGAAAAAAGACCCACTAATAACTAAAAAACCCAAGAGTAGGAGATCATCAGCTTGACTCAATGTTACTTTTAAAAAGCTATTAAAACAATGAACATAGTCGGTTATGCTAGGTTAATTATCTTTTAACTATTCATTTAACTGCTTAAAGAAACCCCCCGAGCATCCCAAAATCATTTCAGAGTTTTCAGGCACAAATCAGAGTCCTTCAGCCACTATTTAGTCTTCTCTTTTCTAATCCCCAATTTATATGAACCTTTGGGGGCAGCCTCCCCCTTTTCAGAGGGTGAGTCCTCGTCCAAAGACCCCGAGCTTAACTTGCCATCAGATTTGCTTTCTTCTTCCTTCTCGTCCTCAGCTGGTTCCCCGAGCTGTGTTTGCAGAAAATCCCATGCCTTAAGAACAGAGTCAATCTTTTATTTTTTGTCGTGAAGTTTGAAAATGACACCTTCTGGGATTAACCATCTGTAACTGTAAAAGTAGGATTAGTTCTTTATAATTCTTTCTCTTCTGTTTTATGTCAAATGGAATATATTTTAAAATCCTGATGTTGTTGTCCCCAATTTTCAAGGGGGTTACCGTAGTTGCTTTCAGAATAGAGTCTCTCACATGTCTCTTCGAGAATCTGACTACTATTTCCCCAGGCAGATTATTTTTCTTGATGTATGAGGAATAGGACCTATAGACCACATCCATCTCGCTGTAGAGGTATTCCGCTGTCAAATCTGTCATTGGGGCTATTGCTTCACTCAGTCGAGCACTGCCTGTTTAATTGCTAATTGATTAATCGCCTTCCTTTGCATCTCTCTGCTAACGGGTTCTGAAGGGGAATGTGCCCATGAGATAAGGTAGCAGTGGTGCTGAAGACAGGTGTTCTGTGGGCTTCTTCCCACAGTGCTGCCATAACATTTAAAAGCCTGCCCATTGTGTGGGTGGGGCCAGTCACACATATCTTTAATGTGCAATGCTTGCTGAGCTGGGATTGGGAGAGATGTTTCCACGGTAAGAACTGCACAACTGACCCTGCCCCAAGGTGGGAAGCCTTTACATGCTACAAGAATGTTGTGGGAAGAGACTGTGGAAAAACAGTATCCACGCTGCTGCTGGGGTGCCTGAATGGCAGCGATTTTCTGAGCCTTTTGCTTACTTAGTACAGAAATCAGCATCCATAGACTCCTTTTTTGAGATACCCAGGCAAAGTTGCATGTTTTACATTCATATGACAGTGCCATGTGTAAGCTCAGAAGGAGATTGAGCAAGACTTCCAGCTCCCAGAGGGTGGGCACTTCAGTGCATAGCTATTTAGCTAGCAAAAACTGAATAGATTCTGCAGAATGAGCAAATGTCCTTATTGACTCTTTTCAAAGCACAATCACTACATGCTGCATGGAACCCCCAAATGCATACTGCAGGAACTCCCAAAGCAGCCAACAACAAAAGCCATCAATTAACA